GACAGGAAAATTTGCGAAAGGGCAACAAAAAGAAAATATTTTTCGCGCTTCGGAAGAACCTCTCTCAAAGCCAGATACGATCTCTTTCGTCTGACGGCTACCCCCCATGACCAAGCATGGCCCTCGATGGTATTGCCTGTCGTTGCCAGTCGCCGTCCCCTACGCTCTCTCCAAGAGCACTTGTTCTCTCCGGAATTACTATCGATTTTACGCGTTTCAGCGTCGATGATTCTTCTACTGGCCATATTTGTCATATCAACGGTGATCCTTGCCTGTACAACATATTCGTATCGAAAGCAAGTAAAAGAGCTTCAAGATCCTGAACGACGACGTCTCCTGGAAGAGTCATAATCTGAACCTGTGACAGTCTTAATTGTTGTTTTTCCTCAAGAAAAGTAAAAACGAGATGCTTACGGGACCTGCGCCATTCTACTTTCGTTCATAGCTTGGAATGTAAAAGTGAATAAAGTGTTCACGACTCTGATTATTAGCTTTCTTACTTAAAGGCACAGTTCGCGACCGCAAATTGCGGGAAACGGAACTCAAATAGGCACAAAAAAGTGCTAAGTATCTGATTAGCGGAGAAAAGCAGCAGAAAAAGCAGTCCGAAATGTTATAGAGAAAGATAACATAGTGGCTACTAGCTAGTAGCTAGCAGCCGGTGAGGGTCGGCATGGGCCTAAGGGGTGTCCATGGGCCTAATTAGTCAGCTTCTAGCGGAGTTCTTGCCGTTTTTCACATTTTGAAAGTAGCGCAGCCTCAAAAATCGCCTTCCGGATCGTCCGACACATTTGAGAGGTCATAGCCTTATTTTATCGCGGAATGTGCCTTTAAAGTGCATATTTTATCCGGTCTTCACTGCTTTTCACCTACTGCGCAACGCTCTATGAAACAAAATTGATATTGGCACGTTCTTGGCTACCGTTCGTATGAAATGGTATTCGGGTCGTAGGCGCGATGCTTGTGAGAGTACAGACGAAAAAGAAGCAGAGACGAATATGTAAAGGAGAGCCGCCGGAGACCTCTGCACAATCCTCAATAAGTAGTGTAATCTCTCTCAGAAAATATCTCATATAATAGCTCAGAGGGGTGTGACAACTTCCACGGGCGGTGCTCCTTCACCAACTAGCGGCCGCACGCCCTCTTCACTCACTATCGAGCTGCGAGGGCGACACGAGAGTAACGCACATGCTACTTAGTAGTCAATAATTTCTGGGCTTATGCTGCTCAGCGTGTTGACGGAATATAAGTAGAACGTGAAAACTAGTACTATACTCCAAACTAGTACCACTTTGAAGACTGACCACCTGAGCGCATCACATACATTTGGCGCGAAAGATTTAGCGTTGACGCTAAGCGTTATGCGTCAAACTGATGTAGTATTCGTGCTCAAGGGTTGAGTTACAGTCGCTACCCTATCGGTGCCTCACAATGAGGCGTTCCCGCGTGCATACGCGCCGAGCCATACGTTTCCATCAGCCTTTGCCACAATGGGGCGAGCAGCCATTGGTGGAAAAAGGATCTGGCGCCGCGCCAAAACATGGGTGGACAGGAACTCCTCCACCCAACGTTGCGATATCGAAGGGAACAGATCTCTAGTCCGTTCCAGGATGTAAGAGGGTAACAAATTCCAATTGATAAAGGGCTGAATCAATAAAGAACTGAATACCCAGCAAGGCCGAATTTTCTTCTGATGTTCAA